GGAAGCTGGGCTCCTACAAGGTTGTCCTGACCCTTTCCTGCTTGTACTGTCCTGGACAGGGACCTTGAGGCCTCTCGGCACAGAGGCCCAGAGCGAGGCATCGCCACGGGCCCGAAGCTAGGAGCCGAGCAGGGCACTGGATGGACTGTCCCCAACAGTGTGCGTTAAGCAGGGCAAAGACTAAGAGCTCCAGCTTCAGACACTCCTGGGATCCACCTGTGCCTTAGTAACGTGTGGTGATAGTTTTCTCAGTCTGTGGGTCCTGTGTTAGATCCAAAATGTATGCAAAACTCACAGGCCCACCTGGGAGTCTGCACACCGAGCCGTAAGTCCCAGGCCTGTTTGCCACACGGCTTTGTGAGGTACCCAGCCGGAACACAGCCTCCTACCTTCTTGTGTTGGTACCTACGTTGACTTTTGTGCTGAGTCAGAGCGCATCTGACCTTCAGAGGCCTTCACTGAAGTGGCTTGTGAGCTCTCCAGGTTACACACAGAAGCTGGGGGTGGGACGTGTGCGGGACAGGAAGCCACTGTTGATCCCACATCGCAAGACTGTGTCTGGCTTGATTCCCCAGTCTTGATGGACAGACAGGGTGTTGGGGCAGTGGTGATGACTATGCCAGCCTTGTCTGAAGCTGTGTGGTTCTTGTGACTCGCTTTGTTCCAGACATCTGTGTTCCTCACAGAGAACTGGCACAGACCAACCCAGGACTCCAGCTTTGGAGTGGAGAAGCCGTGAGAGGATCAGACTCACTGCTCCCCACTCCTACCTCACACCTCAAAAAGGGTGCTGGTCTGGGCCTCCGAAGGGGACGCAGGGGTGGCATTGGGGTCCTGCCTCCATCAGTCTAGGTAAAATTAACAAATTGAGTCAGGGGCAAGACCCTGGGCCCCGAAGAGACAGGTGGCTTCCAGTTGTGTGGCCCTGAGTCTTCGTAGGAAGTTGATTTGTAAAGGAGAGTCATGGAGACCGAAGGTTGGCGCTGCAGAAAGAAGGCAGTGGCTGTGGAGCCCTTCCCTCGCCCCTGTGCCACACTGTGTGCCTCCTCTTGACCACCCTGCATGCCCTCATCTCTACTACCCTGCAGTGCCCTCCCCCATGCCACCCTGCATGTTCCCCAAGATTAACAGCAGCCATGGCCTGAGATGCTTCTCCCACCCTCTCACTGCTGGCTTTCTTGGGTGGCTCCCCTTCAGAGTGGGTCAGTGGTCTCTAACACCTAGGGTGTCAGAGTGTCAGGGGTATCATAGACCCCGCCATGGGGGAGTAGAGTGGTGTAGGAGTGAGATGGCCTTGCTGCCTGGTGGTGGGTAGTTTGAGAGTTGGTTCCCTGGGGGCAGGACCACACAGCCAGTCTGGGTTTGTGGACAGGGACCCTGGCCCCGCCCAGGGCCACTTTACTGTGAGCTCCTGCAGCCAGCCCCATGGACTGTGAGCTCCCACTACTCACAGCTCGTTTTTCTTGGGGCCCTCTTGATCTGCTGAAAATGGAGAAAGGCCAGTTCAGAAAGTGCAGGCGGGTTTGAGCCAAAATGTCGACACACTTGGGTGCCTGCTCCTCAAACTGGCTGTGGGTGCCTGCTCTCAAACTGGCTGTTTCCTTCTGCCCTTGGCACCTGGGCTGCGTCTTTTGTTTGCTTCTGTTAGAGACAGACTCTGGTGTAGCCCTGGGTGGCCTTGAACTCCCTGTGTAGCTGAGGGTGACCCAACCCTCCATTGTTGTCTCTGGCCTCACTGAACCCCACTAGTGTGAGTGGTGCGGTCACATAGTAGATGCCCAGGAAACAAGTGTCTGTCTGGGGCAGGCGGTTCCCTCAGAACCCTCCGCACTTGCTCCCCCTTCCCTTTTCATGACCCCTGGGCAGCCTGGGGACGAGCTGAGAGCTGGTGTGAGGCCCCCATTCCCTCGTGGCCCGTTTTGAGAGCTGCATGACATCGGGGTGGGGCAGCATTGAAGGACGGAGCTGAATTTGGAAACTGACTTTTCCGCTTCCTCAGCTGTGTGGTTTCTGCCCATCGTGACACTTGGGGACCACAGCCTCTTCCATCAGCAGATGGGGACAAACCCGCTTCGGGGCACCGGCCGTGGCAGCACTTGCATTGGGCAGACGCCCTTGCGTGGCTTCCCTGACAGCCCCTCCCCGTGTTCCAGGAGGCTGCTCGTATTTGCAGTGCTGTTTCACGTTGAGTGTGGAAACACCCAAAGGCATCGTCAGCTGTTGCTCAGAGGAACTCAGGGAGGTTAGGCAGTGATAGGCCAGGCCCATACAGCTGGGTCTGAGTGCAGGCAGCCTGTACCGTTTCTGTGCCTGGCACACAAATGGAAAACCTAGTAATCCTCCGACGCCCTCATCACAGAGAGACAGTGTGACCAACAGCCCCAGGAGCGTGTTTTAGGAGAAAACGTCCCGACAGTCAGGACTCTGCAGGGAGCATCCGAGTGTGTCACAGTCTTCTGCTACTGTTTTGGGTGCCAGTTAGTTTGCCTTACTAGTGATTCCGCCCTGGGGCACAGTTCCACTTGCCCTGCATCCTCACAGACCCAGCTGGTCCTTAGAAGGCAGAGCCCACTGTGCAGGCGCAGGGCCAATGGGAGTATGGGCGAGGCAAGATGCAGATAACCCCTGGCTTCGTGTTGACTGGCGACCTTCCTGTGAGAAGAGAGAGCTGTGGACCCCACCTCTGCCTCTCACTGTCCTCTGAGTCAGCGTTGTGTGGAAGAGCTCAGCACTGAGTAGAAGGTTCCAGAATAGAGGCTGACAGTCTGTGACTGCTCTTGTGGCCACTGTTCAGGGGTTTGTGGTGTACTGACAGTTTCTGAGGCTGCTGTTCCTGCAGAGTGCTCTCCCTTCTCCCTCCCCTCCCTCCCTCATCGCCTGTGCTCCGACCACAGACATGAAAGGTCTTAGTATTTGTGCACACCCTCCACACACTCTGTCGTTTTCCTTTATTATTGTATGTGTGATGGGGAGCGCACATGCCCTGGGGTAAGCATGGAGGTCAGGGACCGACTCTGTGGGGTCAGTGCTCTCCACATCTCTGTGGGTCCGGGAACGAACTCAGGTTACTACCATGCTCATGTGGCTGGTGCCTTTGCCTGCTGAGCCCTCCTGCTGGCCCACCTCTGTGTACTGCAGATCACCTCAGATTGATCTGCACCCCTGGTGCAGTGTAAATGCAGTGTGGATAGTTGTTCCACACCGCCGTCTAGGGAAAACAGACAAGAAGGCCACACATGCCCCCACAGAGGCAGTCTCCCCTCCAAGCTCAGATGAGCCTTTGCACATAGCCCCTGCCGGTGCTCAGCACACAAAGCATCCCTCGGTCTGGGACCACTGAGGCTGGCTGTCATTTGTCACCCCGATGTAGGTCAGGGCTACCCAGTATGATGGTCCCCCCGGCACCAGTGGCTTCTGAGCCTTTGGCATATGGCCTGTGCAAAGCGAAGTGAATTTTACCATTTTATTTGGTTTGGCTGAACTTGAATCCAAACGTCTTCTCAATCCCTGTGCAGTGCATCGGGTGCCCAGCTCTGAGATGGACAGCCCATCAGTCAGTCCATGGCTGCAGCGAGCCTGTGTTCTTTGCGTTTGGTTGGTGCCAGCTGTGGGGTTGGCAAGCCTGGGGCACACTTGACATTTCAAGGGCCTCCTGCGGGCAGCCGGGTTGGCTCCAGCTGCTTCTGGAAGCTTCCAGTGCCCTCCTTGGATTTCTCGGTTTCTTCCCGGGGGAGTCGGCCATCATGTCCAGGAGTCCCGGGCCTGAGCATCTTGCAGTGTAGGACGAGGTGGGGCCTCTTCTCCAGCGGGGCCTCGTTGTATTAGCAGGGCTGGATTTCCAGAGAACAGGAAAGACACAAATGAAATAAATGATAAAGGTGAGGAACGAGATGGAGGACAGACACAGGCAGCCACTCCTTCCCATTGGGACACAAATGACAGTCACTGCTGGCGTTCCAGGTCCTTCTGTCCAGCTGGAGCTTCCAGCGGCCCCTGTTTACACACTAGGGGAATTGAGACTCTGTGCCGTTCTGTACCGTCCATACCGGCATCTGAGACAGAACCGAGGAGGGACGTGGAATGTCAGCTGTGGGTGTGTGTCTGTGAACTCTGCCCGCTCCAGCGGCAGGAGCTCTTTCTCTTAGATAGGGGAGTGGGAATTTCGTGATGGTAAACCACAGGAGTGCAGTGTACCTGCCGACACCCCTTCCCAGGCTGTGAGTGCCCTCTTGGGATGCCAGGCCCATGGGGACACAGCCTCTGCCTGAAACACGGTGTTTGAGAACTGAGTTATGAAGTCTCACAGACCAAGATGGGAAGCGGATTCAGTTAACTCTTGGGTCAGCTGGTGAGAGGAATTCTACTCTCTTCCCCGTCGGACTTTGAGATACATGTAACTTAGGCAGGCACTGAGTAGGTGTTGGGTGGCGGAGGCTGCGCATTATCTGATGACAGGGAATGCCATACCTGGGTACACGGTACCCTTTGGAGCTGCACAGTGCACCGCCTGGCCAGTCATGCCCAGCATGCCCTGGGTGGTGGCAGGCATGCTGCTGTGTTGTTTGCTTTTCCTGACATTCAGGGCTGAGAGGATGGGAGAGGCTGCAGGGACTCGGGATCCCCGGTCAGCAGTACCTTGTGATCCGAGCCAGCAAACTCCCTAGAACAGTGATTCTCAACCTTCCTAACGCTGTAACCCTTTAATACAGTTCCTCAGGTGGTGGTGACCCCCCACCCCAACCATAAAATAATTTTTGTTGCTGCTTTATAATTTTGCTGCTGTTATGAATCGTAATGTCAATATTTTTAGAGATAGAGGTTTGCCAAAGGAGTCGCAACCCACAGGTTGAGAACCACTGTCCTAGAGGACCAGGTGACTCACCGTAACAAAGGTCTGCACAGTTTCTCCCCTAAAGGCCGTTGTCCGGTGCCTCCGAGAGCCCGGAAGCCCCTGTGCCTCAGCCTGTTGCTGACACAGCATCTCTGTTGATCTACTACAGGACTGTGGGGACAGGAAGCCGTGCTGAGCAGGCTCGAGGACTGGTGCTTGGAAATGAGGGTACCCAGGGGAGGTGAGTCCACCCAGAGACCCCACTGTCCTGTGTTCCCTGCCAGCATCAGGCGGGTGAGCTTTCTGCCCAGCTGGCTAGTTAAAATGCAGGAACCTGGTACACCGGGAATGCCAGCCCTCAGGAAACTACAGGTGCACTGTGGGTTATAGACAAGCAGGGGCAGTACGGCATCCAATGTCCATGGTGTAATGATTACCATTGCTCTCCTTGGCTGAAAGGAAAGTCTCTTGTCTATGTTGCGAGCCAGCAAGTTGCAGAGGCAGGATTTGAATCCAGTTCTACAGAACTCCTGCCAGCTGCCTTCACTGCTGGGACAACAGTGGCTCCTCAAAGCTGCCCTCATCTCACCTGCCTAAGAAGAGTTGTTTTCTTTCGGACAAGCATGGCCTTGACCTTGGTCGGGCCTGTAGTCCTGGCTGTGTAGCTCTGAGCTTGTTAGAATTATAAAAACAAAATGCAGGCAGGATGTTTGCTAGACTTCGGATTCCGAAATACGTGAATGACTTGGGGGCAAACTGGATGTGTGATAACCATTCGCTGTCCTGTGTTCCTTTTTCCTCTAGGGTTCCTGTGTCAGTTCCCAACCACAGGCCCATACACACATGCACGCACACATGCATGTGCACACACATGCACACTGTACTGCCCCATTCTGCAAGCAACCTACAGTTAAAGCATACCCCCCCATACACACACACACACACACACACACACACTACCTTTTTACCCCCAAGGGTGAAATTCCAGCTAAGGTGTGGTTGGTGGCTTCCTTGGCACAGTAGTCATTGCAAGTGGCAGAGTTTGGATCTCAGATCCACCGGGCAAGCTTTGCGAACACTTGAGGCATCCTTAGATATCTGAGTGGCTTTGTGCCCTGGCCAGCCTGCTCTCTCCCCTAAAAGTGCCTTGGAATCAGTTTTTCCCATCATGGGTCCAGAATTGAAGTGGGGAGCAGCCCCAGCATCGGCAGAAGAAAGTGAGTTGTTTTTCCAGGGAGAGGCCCCTGCTGTGATCTGATGCTCAGCTTGCTGGCCCTGGGCCAGGTTTATCTGCCTTGGCAGGCACTTCTCAACCTTGCTGTGGACTGTCCTCAGTTTGAGTGTGGCTAGCTGAGTCAGAAGTGATAGAACTGGGTAAATCTGGACCCACTCAACTGATTCCAGCAAAAGGCTCAAGGGGCAGGCGAGGAAAACAGGCTCAGAGAGACTGGGGCCAAGGCAGAGATGGGTGGAGTGGTCTGAGATGGACAGAGAACACCCACTGTCTGTGCTGGTCTCCAGCTGTGGAGCCTGAGTGCTGGCAGTGATCTGGGCCGGGGCTGACAGCAGCTGGCTCTGCTTTTCATGGGAAGCCCCTGTCTGAAATAAAGCACTGCTGGATTCCTACCCTCTGGTCAGCAAGGCCTGGGGAGATGCATTACCATGCTCCAAGCAGTCCCCCAGCTGCCTGGTCCTTAGCCTCCAGCATTGGAGCCCGGCAGGTGCCCTGGAGTTGACCTCGGACTTGGTCTGGCTCTTTGCTCCGTCCTCATTCTGTTCGCTTCCCTCTGGCCCCAGCAGCCTTCGCTCAGACTGCTTCTCTGCTCGGAGCACCCTTCCCAGCGGCTCAGCCCCGCTGTGCTAGCTCCCAGCTAGGATGCCTCTTCCTCCCCTCTGAGTCCCTCTAGCAGCAGCTAGCTCATCATCACACCACGCATATCCCCCGGGAGCTCCTCACTTCCTCACCAGGACCTGTGCTGTGGAGGCCGCCGTCCTGGCCGCCTGCCTCCCATCTTCCCAGTCCTGGGCTTAGTGCACAGACTTTAGTGCCAGCTTGGTGAGCATGTCCCAAATGCAGATAGAGGCAAGGACAGTGTTGAAGGAGACTGTCCCCTGCCGTGCACTACAGGGCAGGCCAGTCAGGACGCTGGCTCGGCTGCTTCCTTGTTGGGTAGCCTCAGTTTCCTCCTCTGTGCCAGGCCTGTGCAGGGAGCTGGGAACACAGTTCCGCTGTGTGTGCCGCAGGAATCAGCCGACCTGTGGTTATGGGTTATTTTTGTTTTGTTGTTTTTTTCTAAGACAGGACCTCCTGTATCTGGAGCTGGCCCCAAATCCCCGACCCTTTTGCCTTCACCTCCCACATGTCGGGGGTCACAAGCATTAGCCACCATACCTGGTTTATGTGTCCTGGGGAGTCAAACCCAGGGCCCTGTGCATGCCAGGCAGGCCCTCCACCCACTGAGCTCCGTCCCAAGCTGTGAGCACCCTGCCTCACTTGCCAGACCAAGGTCACCTGATAGGGCTGATGAGAAATTAATCCAGGCTTGGGTTGGAGGGGCCACAGCAAGACTGAGGCTGTGACAGCTTTATTGAGAGCAATCAGACTTTTTATACCTTTATCAGAAACAGAATGTGGTGGGGATTGCCAGGATCAATACAGTTGTAGCTGCCAGGATCCAATGCTGTAAGCTATACAGGGTACACCAGATTAGTGTCTAAGACCAATTGTCCTGTCAAGCTTCCTTGACTGCTAAGGGACTAAGGGATCATACAGGGAACACTCTACTGCTCAAGGGAGTGCCTCAGTTTCTCAGGAACCGAAAGGCACGCTGTGCCCCATGAGCCATGGACTCTAACCTGAAAAACCTACGGCATGTGCTTCTCAAGGCAGCTAGGCCACGCCAACTCCACAGTTCCCAGACCAAGCCCTACTTTTTATTTTTGATACAGGCAGGCTCGAACTTGGAATCCTCCTGTCTTGGTCTCCCAACTGGCTGGCATACAGGCTTGTGCTGGTGTTTCCAACATTTTAATAATAACCTCCATCACCATCCTTTGTTATCAGTTGGCCAGCTGAAACACTGATCAGGAGCTCCAACTGACTGACCAGGGCACCAAAGCCATGGTGGTGGAGGATCGAGTGCTGTCCACCTGAGGCTTTGGAGGCCGCAGTAGTCCTGGGGGCGAGGGGAGGCACCACGCAGGGGCTACACCTACATGTCCCTGAGCTTATCGCCCCAGCGTCTAGTTTGTGTCCTGATGGGCCTGCTGACGCTGTCCTCTCTCCACAGATGCACACGAGGTAGGCCTGCTGACCCGTCCATGAGGCGGGCCCCCTGCCTGGGCCTGGGCCCCTGGCTGGGCATGCGCCTGACGGTGCGGAAGGTGTTGCTGGCTGCTGGCTGCGCACTGGCCCTGGTGCTGGCTCTGCAACTTGGGCAGCAAGTGTTGGAGTGCCGGGCGGTGCTCGGGGGCGTGCGGAACCCACGGAGGATGCGCCCGGAGCAGGAGGAACTGGTGATGCTTGGGGCCGACCAGGTGGAATACCGCTATGGCAAGGCCATGCCGCTCATCTTTGTGGGTGGCGTGCCTCGCAGCGGCACCACCCTCATGCGCGCCATGCTGGACGCGCACCCTGAGGTGCGCTGCGGAGAGGAGACGCGCATCATCCCCCGTGTGCTGGCCATGCGGCAGGCCTGGTCCAAGTCTGGCCGGGAGAAGCTGCGGCTGGACGAGGCGGGTGTGACGGACGAGGTGCTGGATGCCGCCATGCAGGCCTTCATCCTGGAGGTGATTGCCAAGCACGGGGAGCCGGCGCGCGTGCTGTGTAACAAGGACCCGTTCACACTCAAGTCCTCCGTCTACCTGGCACGCCTGTTCCCCAACTCCAAGTTTCTGCTAATGGTGCGTGACGGCCGGGCCTCCGTGCACTCGATGATCACTCGCAAGGTCACCATTGCAGGCTTTGACCTCAGTAGCTACCGAGACTGTCTTACCAAGTGGAACAAGGCCATCGAGGTGATGTACGCACAGTGCCTGGAGGTGGGCAGGGACAAATGCCTGCCCGTGTACTACGAGCAGTTGGTGCTGCACCCCCGGCGCTCACTCAAGCGCATCCTGGACTTCCTGGGCATCCCCTGGAGTGACACTGTCCTGCACCACGAGGACCTCATTGGCAAGCCTGGGGGCGTCTCCTTGTCCAAGTGAGTGGGGCCCCACAGCTCCTCCCAGGCTCCAAGCGGCAGATCAAGTCTGCCCTTCTTGAGCTGTGCTACCTTAGGCAAGTGTCTGTGCCTCTCTGAGCTTCAGCGTCCTTCTATGTCCTGGGGAAGGGTTTGGGAATTGGGTGACTGAAAGTAGAGTCTGGAACCAGGTGGGCCTCTCCTTCCCGGTAGCCTTCTGCAAAACTCAGACACTGTGAGGAAAGCGTGCGCTCAAGACTGAAGGCCCAGCATGCTAGGAAGCTGGTGTCCACAGGGGTGTTCAGCCTAACCTTAGTGTTTGATGTTTTCTTTCTTCAAGGACAAATTTCTCAAGTTAGTCACAGATATAACAAGTCACTTTTAAGGAGACACAGGCTGGGCTGGCACATGACTCAGTAAGTAAAGGGACTTGCTGTGCAAGCCCAGACACTGAGTGTGATCCCCAGAACTACTCAGAGGTAGAAAGAGAGAAGCAACTCCACAAGGCTGTCCTCTGACCTCCACACATGCATCCTGGTGATGCCCCACACATGCACATCCTGTGCATACACACATAATAAATAAGTAGATAACACATGCACATCCTGTGCATACACACATAATAAATAAATAAGTAACTAACACATGCACATCCTGTGCATACACACATAATAAATAAGTAAATAACACATACACATCCTGTGCATACACACATAATAAATAAATAAGTAAATCGTAATAATGAAAGGCGCAGGGGAGTGTAAAAGAGGGCCAATGGGGGTGAGACTTCTGCCAGGCAAACGTAGCTGAGTTCAGCGTCCCCAGCACCCACATGAAAGCCACACGTGGTTGCAAGGAACTCACAGGACAGGAGTCTGGCGGGGAGAAGGCAGGTCCTGGAGGTTCACTGGCCAGCCAAGCCAACACAGCAAGGTGAGGGGGAGAAGTGATTGAGGACCTCGGCATCTGGCTTCCACATGTACTACACACATGTGACATGCAGGTATGCACACAGACACATGCACACTTGAAGGAAGCCGCTCCTGCATCACAAGCACACAGCTCTGCTTCCTGGTGTGTGCCGCTTCCATGAGGCACAGTCCCCTGGCCGCACTCTCACAGCTGATGGGGCAGGGCTGTCCAGGGGTGCCCTGCCTTACTGCTGCCCTGCAGCCACAGAGCAGAGGGTGTCCCCCAACCTGACGAGACTGTCCTTTCTCCCCAGGATCGAGCGGTCCACAGACCAGGTCATCAAACCCGTGAACTTGGAAGCACTCTCCAAGTGGACCGGCCACATCCCTGGGGACGTGGTGAGGGATATGGCTCAGATTGCCCCCATGCTGGCTCGGCTTGGCTATGACCCGTATGCAAACCCGCCCAACTATGGGAACCCTGACCCGATTGTCATCAACAACACACACCGGGTGAGTGCGTGTGCACACACAGGAATGTGAGCATAGGCTTTAGCAGGATGTGTACTCCAGTCTCAGGGCTCCTGAGCATCTGTGTTCTGCCCGATGGACATAATGGTACCAATGTGGGTGTTTCCACTTTGGCGTGAGCAGGGGTCAGCAGGGGTCCTCCTCTCCCTGTCCTCTCACGGCAGATCTGTGACTTATCTCAGGACGTACTTACCTTTCCTTCCTGTCTCACTGGCTCTTTTCCCTTGTGTGCAGAGCCCTTCAAGTCTTGAGAGAAAACATACATAAAGAATGGACCATGTTGTCGCTCCCTAAGTTATCATTTTGATTTCTCATACACCAGAGCCGGGAGTTGTTGAAATTACTGTTTTCCATGCTGAAAATACTTAAGGGAAGTGACTTTGATAAGACATTTTATCAGAACAGCTCAGTTGCTCGTGGTTAAGTCTACTTGACATCATCCAGCTTCTTGGGTGCTTTGGGTGCATATCTGAGCATCCACACGGGTGCCTTGGTGGTTATAGTTCCAGTGTGCCGTGGGATGATAATGAGGCTGGCACATTGCTGTTGATCAGTTAGCTGTTGGGACATCCAAGCACAATGCATCACCCACTGGCTTCTAGTCATGTGGAAGCTCAGGGTGCAGTTATGTATTTGAGGTGTGCAGAGGCTATACCATATGTGCAAGTGTGCAGAGGCACTATGATAACCCGTGTGGCAGTGGACACCCCTGAATGTATTTCTCACAGTATCGCCCCCACACTTCTGAGAGCATTTGTTTGTTTATTTATGGAGAATGTCTTCCTGTGTAGTACAGGCTAGCCTTAAACCAGTGGTCCTACCTTGCCTGTCTCCTGAGTTGATGGAATTACAAAGATGTGCTTCACCACAATCAATCACCATTTCAGTTTTTTTTTTTTTTTTTTTTTTTTGAGACATGATCTTGCTCTGTTGTCCAATTCCTGGGCTCAAACCATCTTCCTGCCTCAGCCTCCTGAACAGCCACAACCCCAGGCTTGCATTGCAGTTCCCTGTTAGCCCAAAGAAGTCTTTGTTGCCTCTTTGGTTCTCATTCATTTCTCATCTTCTGTGTGTGCAATGCTGGAGATGATCCCAGGACTCAAATGCCAGGCAAGTGCTCTACCACCGAGCCACATCCCAGCCCCAACGTCTCATCCCTTATAAAGATACAGACTCAGCAAGCACCCCTGCCCAGCAGCAGCCTGGGTATTCTCAGCAAGACTGTGATTCTGTCCGTTTTCATTGTAAATATTATTAATTAATTCTTAGTCACAAACAAGTTATTCTTCAAACTCCATTTCCATGTTTTATATTCCTTTCCCTAGGGAGGCTTCGCTTGACCTTGATAGACAACTAACCACAGTGTTGTAGAGCATAAATGTGGGTAGTTAGCTTGTGTCAATTAAAAAAAGAGGCTGGGCATGGCACAGTGGTAGAACCCTTACCCAGGACGCATGAGGCTCTGGGTTCCAGCCTAAGTAACGATAATATTCTAGATTTAAAAGCAGTGGCCTCACTTGACAGAAATCCAGCTCTGGGCACCTAGAAGGGGCCACAGCAGCGGCAGGAAGTCACGCTGAGGTTCTATCATTTTCCTTTTCCTGGAGCGAGCGAGCAAGTGTGTGTGTGTGTGTGTGTGAGAGAGAGAGAGAGAGAGAGAGAGAGAGAGAGAGAGAGAGAGAGAGAGAGAGAGAGAGACAGACAGAGAGAGAGAGAGAGAGAAAGAGAAAGAGAAAGAGAGAAGAGAGAGAGAAAGAAGAGAGAGAGAAGAGGTAACATAGCCATGTACAGCAGTGGCTCCAAAGCCCCCCAGGGAAAGGCCAGACTCTGTCGTATAGAACAGGAATTCCAGTGAATGCCGGTGTTGGATCAACTCTTTTTTGTTGTTTAAAATAAAATAGTGCCTAATTTTCTCCCAGAGAACCAGAGACATTTATTTCCTCCTTGGGTTTCTGGTCTTGGCAAGGGCCCTGGCTTGATCAACATGGTGTTCAGCCTCTGCCGAGAAAGGACACCGCTGAGGAAAAGCCATGTGGGAGCCAGTGGGCAGGCATAGGTGCTTGTGCTGCTGCGGGCAGTCTCCCTGTCCTGGGCCCTGGGCCTCAACAGCTCGGTGATGAGAATTACACTCGTGAGGTTGTTCCCCCACAGTAACATTGGCTACTGTGGCTGCCAGCCACAGGTGACCATGAGACAGGAGCTAGGCTCTGCTGAGGCTGTGTGTGGAAATGCATGATGGGTTTGAAGACTTTGGCCAAAAAAACCCTCAAGTTTCTCATTAATCATTTTTATATAGAGTCTTGTTGACTTGTTCAAGGTCTTTACACACCAGATTGAATAAAAGATATTTGCGTTGATGGGTAGAGTTTCACACCTGGGTCCCTTTGACTCCTGTTGACAGCAGCTGGTGACACTGTCACGTGCTGCCCACACCCTCAAGTCCTTGGTCTTACCTTTGCTGGAGGACTTTTCCTTCCTATTTAACCTGGCTGGTTTTACTTATCTGGACCTCACCTCTGTGGTTAAAGGTTGCAGAAACCTCTGGTCACTCCCAACCACACCCTTTTGATTCATCTGTGCCCTGTCAGAATAGATATTGCAATGGAACAAGAGCTCCAGTGGCCTGATTAACACTGTCCCATGTCGGTGGAATAAGAGGCACTCAGTAAATGTTGCTGAGGGAAGATGGATGGATGGATGGGTGGGTGGGTGGGTGGGTGGGTGGATGGATGGATGGATGGATGGGTGGGGTGATGGATGGATGGTGGACAGATTGATGGATCTGTGATGGATAAATGGAATGATGAGTAGATGGGTGGATTGATAGGATACGTAGTTGAAAGGAGGGGCATGGGAGAAAAATGTATGACTGATAGGTGGGCGGGTGGAGAACTGGAGGAACAGAGGGTGGGTAGATGGATGGGTAGTTGGATAGATGTGATGACCTGGATTTTACTCTCTGCCTGTTTCTCCCACAGTGACACTTACCTTCTTTCCTAGGTCTTGAAAGGAGACTATAAAACGCCAGCCAATCTAAAAGGATATTTTCAGGTTAGAAAACCCAGAGGGGGAGTTCTGCTTTCTGTTTACCTGGCTGGACTCCAGCTCAGAGTTGGTCCATGGCTGCTCCACTTTGCCCTGGCTGGCTGGCTGGATGATGGAGGGATAATGGATGGACGATGGATGGATGGATGGATGGATGGATGGATGGATGGATGGATGGGTGGGTGGGTGGGTGGGTGGATGGATGACACCCATCATAAACCTGGATAGGGCTGAGCAGTGTGTGTGTGTGTGTGTGGGGGGGGGGGGGTCTCTAAGTGACTCATCTAGCCAAGGCCAATCTCAGCATTATTTCTCCTGAGCTGTCCCGCCCCTTGTCCTCTGGATGGAAGGTGGCCGGGGACTCTGTGAGGATTTTATGTCTCTTACCTAAACCCCATCCTACTAAGGGGACAATGGTCAAGCACATCCCCAGATGTGCTTTTCTTCTGTTTGAGGAAATGAGAGCTACGGGGTCCTGGGGCATGTGACTAAGTGGCCATGAGTCACACTTCCCCATGCCTCCCACAGCTGGGCTCGCCATCCTTGAGCTGTCCCTGACCGGTCCATGCAGTGTCGGGGTGGGTACAGCTTGAACCTTCTGACAGCATGGACTTGTGCTCGGCCACCATTACGCTCCTTTGGGGCTAAAATGCTGCCTTTGAAATGACGACATGGTCCTGAAATGGGTGACTTGGCGCATGTGTTTATTTTTTTAAGTGTGGAGCATAATTTATACTTTTTTACATAATTTTTTAAGTGTGGAGGTGCATGTTTATACTTTCATAGCGAGGCCAGATGTGAACATCAGGTACCTTCTTCAATCCACACACACACATACACACACACACACACACATACACACACACACACACACACACACACACACACACACACACACACACGCGCTGCGCGCGCCTTTCTGTCTTCTGTTTTGAGGAGTCTTTCAGTGAATCCGGAGCTCACTGACTGGGCTGTACCAGCTGTGTGGTAACCCTATGGCAGTCATCATTTTAAAGGTCAGACTACCAGTGTCTGAGTTCGGGGACAACGGCTTTCTGCTGTTGCCTTTTTGGCGTGCTGTGTACATTTTTGTGCTGATTGTGCTTCCGGGGTACACCCTGCTGTCATGGGATTTCCCTCTCTGCTGGGTGGGGTTGTGACCCTTTTGCATGACCACATTATGTACACTGATGTACCTGCCCAAGCTGGCCCAACTACCCCCTTCCATGGCTTCAGATTTCTCAGTGTCTCACAAGATGCCCTTTGTGGGGAGAAGAATCGTGTTCTCTTAGATTACAGCTCTAAGGACTGGACCAGCACTGGGGGTGGAGGCCTGGGACATGGATACAACACTGGACAGCCCTGTCACCTGGGAGATCCTGGGGACATAGCTGCAGTCACCCGGTCCTGAGCACAGTGTGCCCCTCGTGTGTGTGTGTGTGTGTGTGTGTGTGTGTGTGTGTGTGTGTGTGTGTGTGTGTGTGTGTGTGAGAGAGAGAGAGAGAGAGAGAGAAAGAGAGCGAGAGAGAGGGGTTTCTTGGTGGCTCCATGAGTCACCAGTGGGACTAGGCCTCCTAGAAGGGAAAAGGAGCCCCTCATCCACCACTTGGCCTTGACCCCTTCGTCTGTCTCCCTGTCTCCCTCCAGGTGAACCAGAATAGCACCTCCCCGCACCTGGGAAGCTCGTGATTTCCAGGTGAGCTTTCCTGGCTGAAGTGCCCATCTTTTCAGCCTTCTCTCAGATGTGTCCATTAAGGTGGACAGATCCAGCCCCATCTCGTTTCCATGGTGACTGACTAGGGAGCTATTTATAGAATGGAGGCTTAGTCTGTGGAGGAGCAGGAAGGACCATGGAGGCAGGGATCCTAAGCCACATGGATGCCTAGTGGAGTCTGTCAGACCCACCTCTATAACAGCCTCAGCCTTGGCTCACAGCAGGCATGTTCTCAGTAGTCATCATGGACTCCTCCAAGAGAGCCCCCAGACGCTGGGTCAGATGATGCTTGGGACACACAAGGGACACAGCCCCACCGCTGTACAGAGAACCCCAGGGCCTCCTGTGTCACACAGGCAGCCGCTGACGCTTCCTCCAGTGCAGTCTGCAGGCTTGGCTCTTTGAGAGTGGTTTTTTTTTTTTTTTTTTGGTTTTTCGAGACAGGGTTTCTCTGTGTAGCTTTGCGCCTTTCCTGGAACTCACTTGGTAGCCCAGGCTGGCCTCGAACTCACAGCGATCCGCCTGGCTCTGCCTCCCGAGTGCTGGGATTAAAGGCGTGCGCCACCACCTCCCTGCGAGAGTGGTTTTAAGTACCTGTTTTCCTAAGAGGTAGGGAAAGGCACTTTGAGTTGGGGACATCCAGTCTCTGAGACTGTCAGGGTTCCCTCCAAAGAGAAGAACCTGCAAGAGAAGACTGCTCCCCATCTGACTGCTGCCTCCCTCATCTTCTGCAAATGTGTTAGAATCCTAGACCAGCCCATTTCCAAAGCCAGCTCGATCCTGATTGACCGTTTAAATGAGATGCCACATGCAGGGCCTGCACCCAACCTGTGTAGGTTGGCTTGGCATGGAGACCGATACCTCTCTTTCCTCTGAAACTCATTGTGTTTAACACATAATTTTCTGGAGGGCGGGGCTGTTGAAGCCAGGCCTTCTTGCATTGTACCTTAGGCCTGGCACCTGCAGGTAGGCAGGTGCTCTACCACGGACCTATATTCCTACCCTCCTGTACTTTTAGAGATCGATCTCATTAAGCTGCTCAGGGTGGTCTTGGACTCACTCTGTATCCTCGACAGGCCTTCAACCTGTGACCCTCCTGCCTCAGCCTCCCGAGTTGCCGGGAAGACAGACCTGTGCCACCAGGCCGGGCCTCCTTTATTCTTTGTAAATCAGAGAAGAGGACCATTGAGATCAGATTCAAATGTGGGTGAGAACTCACTCAGGGGCCAGTTTTAAATTTAGATGCTCCCCAGCTGTCTAGGGTGTGTACCTATGAAACCTTGGGCACCCCTAGGAGTGGACAGAGACCGTGTCCTCCTTTGGCCTCTGGGACCTGCACCCACATGTGCACAGATACACTAACAGTAAAATAAGTCACATATAGCGGCTCGTACCTTTAATCCCATCACTCAGGAGACAGGGGCGCTCAATTCAGTGATTTCCAGTATAGCCAATGTTGTGCCGTGAGACCCTCTCACAAAAATGGGAAACAAAAAGGTAGACAATAAAATAAACAGAAATGCTCTGTTTCAGCTTCGCCCCAGGATGACACCACCTCCCCTTTCTCAGTCTCTGCAGGGCTCAGATGTCTGAGTCTCCACCGTTGTATGTATTCGGAAGTCGGACTAACCCGAGCGCATTCTTCTCATTTGTGCCGTGGCCGCAGAGGCGGAGCATTCGTCTCGGTGGAAATGGACTTGGAGACTCTGCCTTCGGATGCTCCAGGGTGGACATCAAGGAGGGGACTACCTTCAGCTTCAGAAACTTAGGAATTTTCTATTTTTTTCTCCTCGAGAACTTTTTTTTAAAGAATTGAATTTGCTATCTTCCCTAAGGGACAGGCTCCTTTGGTGGCCTCATTTCCTGGGACAAGACCTGTGACCCGTTCCTCTCCTTGACTTGGACTCTGAACTCAAAGGATCTATTTAAGAGTTTAATATATGGGCTTTCCTCCACCCTTGAGTCCTACTCACTTTCACAGAGAAAAGAAATGAATAAAGTAAAGAGGCTGCTGTCTGTGCCTTACTTCACACAAAGTGAATAGGGCTCTTTTCTTCCCTCACGAGTGGGTGACAGGTAACACTGGAAAACATACCCACGCTGCTGAGGGCACCACCGAGCTCCCCCACAGGAAGAGTAAAGGAAAAGCCGAGTTAGAAAGATCAGTGTGTGTGTGGGGGGTCTCTTCTGGTAAAGTGTGTAGGCGCTTTGGTGATCCTCGCCACAAGGATCCTTGGCAGCACAGACAGAGCCTTCAGCTTTGCTCTTACACCTGGGGTTTTGTTGGAGGTGATGCAAGCAAACATAGATCTTACCCACCAGCCGCTCTGGAGGGTGTGCCCCAAGATTCCCTCCTGCCCACATTCTTGCAGACCACTTCTCTTGGAAGATATATCAGTGCCTTGGAGGCGATCTCTTTTTTTTTTTTTTAGACAGGGTTTCTCTGTGTAGCTTTGGAGCCTTTCCTGGATCTCGCTCTGTAGACCAGGCTGGCCTCAAACTCACAAAGATCCACCTGCCTCTGCCTCCCGAGTGCTGGGATTAAAGGCGTGTGCCACCACCGCCCAGCCAGAGGCGATCTCTCGAGAGGTGCCAAGGGCCTTTCTTTTCGCTCTGGCCTGCTGAGTTTACTGTACAGCGTGGCCCCTACATGCTCTGTAACCAGCTGGGTCAAGAACAGCTTCACGAGGGCAGAGAAGTTCGCCACACCTTGCTTGACTTGTTGGGCTAAGCTGTGAGGCTTAGGGAGGCCATGGCTTGCAGTGTCCTGGGGGTATGGGTTTTGGAGGCAGGGCTGACTTTGTGTTAGGATAAGCTGGGGAGGATTTATGTTGGCTCGTAGTTTCCATCATAGCAGGACACATGTGACAGACATTCAGGTCACAGTGGGCAGTGGAGCAGAGAGGGGCTTGCCAGGGCTCAGCTGGCCTCCCCTTTCTCTTCCTCTTGAGTCTGAGCCCCCAGCCTGAGGTAGTGCTGCCCACATGCAGGGCCAATCTTTTCCTTTTAGCTCACTGTCTCTGGAAACGCCCTTCCAGAGCTCTGCTCATCCAATCTCCCAGGTGCCTCTGCACCCAGTCAGGCTGATGACGAGGGTCCTTTGTGACTCAGTGGCAGGTGGTGCCAGGGACTGAACTGAGGTGGTCAGACATGACTTTGACCATGTCACTCCTGAGATCTTTTCTGTTCGTTTCAGTTGACATCAGTGCCCTCAGATTGCCAAGTGTGCACTCTTCCTATGACTCCTTCCCTGCTGGAACCAGGCATTCCTGACCGCTGTGCATTTGCATACATTTGCATCCATGCCCCCTGCTCCCTATAGCCTCAGCCTGGTATTTATAAGATCAGCCAAGTGTGATTAATAATAGCTGAAAAGATTGCTCAGCCTGCTTCTGTAGCTGGAGTTTTCCTGCCTGGCCCACAGTCAGGACAAACTCTCTCACCTGCCAGTCCCACAGCCCCTCAGACCTGACCAAGTAAACACAGAGACTTATATTGGTTACAAACTGTATGGCCGTGGCAGGCTTCTTGCTAACTGTTCTTACAGCTTAAATGAACCCATTTCTATAAATCTATACTTTGCCACATGGCTCGTGGCTTACCGGCATCTTCGCATGCTGTTTCTCATCATGGTGGCTGGCAGTGTCTCTCTGACTCTGCCTTCCACTTCCCAGCTTTATTCTCCTCCTTGTCCCGCCTACACTTCCTGCCTAGCCATGGCCAATCAGTGTTTTATTTATTGACTAATCAGCAACACATTTGCCATACAGAACATCCCACAGCATGCTTCTGGTCAGTCGAGCCAGGCATGGCGCACCATAGTGAGTTGGAAGCCAGGCTAGACAATGTGAGATGCAGTTTTAAACTTTTAATTTCTTTTTTTAATATTTAATTTTGTGGATGTGTTTTGGTGGGCTCCGGCGTATATGGGCTTACAGATACACACCACCACATCTGGCTTTACATGGGTCCAGGGAATCCAAACTTAATGTGCTTTATACACAAGAGCCTAACAGTGGTTTCCACAGTGTCCCACTGGGTGAGGCATTATTGTAAGTCATGGAGAGAAGATTCAAAGCACACAGGAGGAAGGGAGTGGGATCCCTGGAGCCCATGTAAAGCTGGAAGATGAGGGCCAGCTCCACCTTGTCCTCTGACCTCCACACACATGCTCTTCTAAGAGATGGATGGGCTGTGATGGAGCATCCATGCTTCCTCAAGATTGCACGTCAATGGAGCTGATGCCCAGCCGCACAGTCAGGACCGTAACTGTGCACCTGCCTCTGGATGTAGAGTTTTCATCAACCACTTCCAGCCTGCTGGTGCCATCAGCTCCTCCAAAGAGCTTAGTAATTCCTATTTTAAAAAGCTGGTGAGAGGCTCTGTGGGTAAGATTTGTTCCCTGGGGGAGATGTGAACAATGTCTGCCCTCTCTTCTTAAGATCCTAACAAAACCAAAGTACAATCCCACCACAGTTCACCCTGGGGGACCAAAGCATTTATGGGTTTTACTCACAAAACATGGGTGAGGGGGCTGCTGACCACAGTGTGGGTACCTTAAAGCAGCCACAATGGGAAGTGTTCGCAACTATAGTGTGGTGGTTTAAACAGGTATGGCCCTCATAGACTCCTGTTTGAAAGCTTGGCCTATAGGGAATGGCACTGTTAGGAGGTGTGGCCTTGTTGGAGGAAGTGTGTCATTACGGGGGTGGGCTTTGAGGTCTCATATGCTCAAGCCATGCCCAGTGACCCAGCCTCCTGCTGCTGCCTGTGGCTCAAGATGTATTAACTCAGTTCCTTCTCCAGCACCATGTCTGCCTGCATGCTGCCATGTCCCACCATGATGATCATGGACTGAACCTCTGAACTGTAAGCCAGTTTGTCTTAGTTAGGGTTTCTATTGCTGTGAAGAGGCATGACCACGGTGACTCTTACAAAGAAAAACATTTAACTGAGGTGGCTCGCTTACAGTTCAGAGGTTTAGTTCACTATGGTCATGGCGGGAAGCAAGGCAGCGTGCAGGCAGACATGGTGCTGGAGCTGAGAGTCCTCACATCTTGATCCAAAGGCAACAGGACGTGAACTGTCTGTCCCATTGGGCAGGGCTTGAGTATATATGAGACCTCAAAACCTGTCTTCACAGTGACACACTTCTTGCAAGACTGCACCTCCTCCAACAAAACCACACCTCCTAATAGTGCCTCTCCCTTTGGGGACCATTTTCTTTCAAACCACCACACAGCCCCCATTAAATGTTTTCCTTTATAAGAGTTGCCAGGGTTGAGGATTTAGCTCAGTGGTAGAGCGCTTGCCTAGCAAGCGCAAGGCCTTGGGTTCAGTCCTCAGCTCCGAAGGGGGGGAAAAAAAAGAGTTGCCATGGTCATTGTGTCTCTTCACAGCAATAGAAACCCTAAGACATTGATAATAGCTTCCTTTAGTCATTCCCAGCCTTTATCTAGTCTCTCCTTAGGGTCCTCCCAGACCATGCGGACAGGATCTCATACAATTGGTCAAGATGGGTTTCAGTGACTCTCCCTACTGTCTGAGGAAATGTCAGTGGTCAGCAAGCCTGGAGTGTGGTGATCATTTGCAAGCAGACACTGTTGGTCTTTGGCAGATGGCAGCAGTTTGGCCTGGAGACTAGTGCCTCACAACAGGCACTTTGTGACCCAGGTTTCATCCCAGGAACCCACAAGGTGGAAGAGAACCAACCCCTGCAAGTTGACGTCTGACCTCCACGTGCATGCTGTGGCATACGCTGGTCGCAGACACACACAGTACCCAGAGGGTGGGGTGGGGGGGAGGGAAGGAAGCGAAGAGAGCAAATAAATGTAAAAATTAAACAAAACTCTCGAAGCTGCGTGTAGCACACATTTGCAGTCCTAATACTCAAAGACTGAGGTAGGAAGGATCACAAGTTCAATGCCAGCCTTGGCTGTATGGTGAGTCCCTGTCTCAAACAAGCCTGGAGGGTTGGTCCATGACTTTAATCTCGGCACTCAGGAGACAGAAATGGATGATGATCTTTGAATTTGAGACCAGCTTGGACAACAGAGTGGACTCCAATCTCAAATTAAAAAAAAAAAAAATCTCTTCTTGGGCTCAGTGATAGAGTACTTGCCTAGCGGTGCATTAAGACCTGTCCCCAATGCGCGTGCGCGCGCGCGCACACACACACCACACACCACACACACACACACACACACACACTCTTCCTGGGGCTGCAATGATGACTAGGGAGATGCAATGGTTAATTTTAATGTCAACTTGCCACAAATTAGTCACTTGAGTAGTGAGCCTCCCCTGCAGAACTGTCCTGAGTGCCTTGATTGACATGGGAAGACCCAGCCGGACTGTGGGTGGCACTTTCTGGTAGCAGTCCAGATAAAGGGGGATTTCAAAAGGAAAATCCTCGGCCTTTTGCGCTGGTGGCCTCCCTCTCAACACCGTATTGATTTACCTGCTGCCACTGTCAATTCCTTCACCGACATCAGAACCAGAGAGTCTGGGCTTCCATTACAGACTGACCTCCAGCTCTCCAGGAGCCTTGCCGAGTGTCTGAAGCACATGGGATTGCTGAGACACCAGCCTTGGGGGGTGGAGCAACTACCGGGGTTGGTCAGCGTCTCAGGTGTGAGACAGCAGGTGTTATTATTATTATTATTATTATTATTATTATTATTATTATTATTTTGGTTTTTTGAGACAGGGTTTCTCTGTGTAGCTTTGCGCCTTTCCTGGAACTCACTTGGTAGCCCAGGCTGGTCTCTGCCTCATGGATGACTTACTGAATTCTTTCAACGTACATATTCTTCCTGTTGGCTCTGCTTCTCCGGAGAACCCTGAGTAATAGAACAGGTAAGAGGCCCAATCTGCAAGCATGAGGATCTGAGTTTGTATCCCCAGCCCTCACCAATCTGGGCATGGGTTCATGTGCCTGTGGTTCCCAGCACTGGGGGTGGTGGTGGGTCTTGAGAACTCGATGGTCAGCCAATCCTGCCGAAACAGTGAA